TTGGTTTCTGATTCCTTTCCCAACAACTGTGTTTCTGTAGGGGCATTCTGCATCCCGGTCTACATGCCTTACATCCTGACAGGCAGGTGGACACTGGGCCGGGGACTGTGCAAGCTGTGGCTGGTCATGGACTACCTGCTCTGTTCGGCATCTGTCTTCAACATCGTCCTCATCAGCTACGACCGCTTCCTGTCAGTCACCAGAGCAGTGAGTAGCTCAACCTGTGCCTCACATCTGTAATGCACACAGCACCAACAAAGTGAATTTAGAAGAGCGACTCATAGCACAGTGGCTTGCCACATTTGTAATCTACAATGTTGTCATTATCAAATAAACACAAGACAGAAAGAACTTTATTTTTCAGATTTGAGTGAACAGTTTAAAGATATAATGTTACAAGTTGAAGAGCCCTTTTCAATTGTAGCCACACACATGTTCACTGCCCATGTCTGTGGCTTGATGACCGGTGAGTCTCCCAGGTGATTGGTAGTGGCAGTGCTGCCTCATTCTCCCAAATGTGCCCATCTGCAGAGGTTAATCATTCCTGACCCATCCAGGCCCAGTGCCACCCCTAATTATAGCCCTTCCCCATGTTGACCAAGATAAAAAAAAAGAAAGTCACATTTTGACTTTGGGACAGAATGTGCTTTGGAAAATATGGAGGATGTCAATATTGTGGTATTGATGACTAAACTTAAATACGTTTCGCAGATTCTAATAATGGCATCGATGTCTGGACAACCATGTTCCACTGCTTTGTTTTTCTGAAATACAATTGTACAGCATCAATTATGTCCCTTTTCTGTTTGGATCCAGTTTAGTTCCATTTCCAAACCTCTGCAGCTCTTAGGCCCATTGACCCCGTCCTTGTCTGTGCATTAGCCGACTGACTGTATCCTACACACGCGTGTGTTAACTCAAAGGTGGGATGAAGCTTGGCATGGCAGACAAAGAGATGTGTTCTGTCTCCTTTCACAAGCAAACACTTAACATCAGAGCAGCGAATACAAATAACACCAGAGAGAGAGAGAGAGAGAGAGAGAGTGAGAGAGAGACCCTTCTTTAATTAGCTTGCTTTGATCATAGAGACCCTCCTACGTGCCATGGTCCTTCCAACCTGGAGAGATCAATCGCAGCTGAAACAGGCCACTGGCTGCCAAGCAGCATTTTCCTAAAAGCATTTCCCTCTGAACATTGAAAGACAAAGGATCGTGAACAGCCACAGGACAAAGTTGTCTTTTGAAAGAATGGAGTCAGATTAGATGCATATATTTGGCAGTTAGATGAAATGTCAGCACATTAACAAAAGGCTAACTGCACAGTATTAGAACATATCCTATTGATTGTGTAATTTAGGATTATAAGAACGGGCTAAGGTCAATCCCTAGACGCTTTAAAAAAATATGCAAAGTTTTAGATTGGAATTTTGAGCACACATGATTCTTCTCCGTCGAGTTCAACAACACAACATGAATCAGGGGAAAGAATCACCGTGTTGAATCGCTGTATACCAATTAATTCATACCAACATTTTCCCGTGTTCTTTGAAGAACTGCGGTTTATTTCTTGTCATTCAGAACAGGGGCAGAGCAGCTGGAGAGGTATGTTGCCCGCTGAACAAGAATGTGGACGCGGACATAGGATGTGACACTAATTGAGACAAGAGGTCACGAGAAGCACCTCGTTGACTTAACACTCATTCACACACATTGTCTCTGCAGTGCATGATGTCAGGATGTTCTGTTTGTCCACCAACATGTTCTGTGATTTCACAAACATGTCATTATGTGTCTGTCCAATATTATCTGTTTTAAATGTTATTATTATTGGCTGCTGGTTGACGGATGGCCTCTTTATTCATTGTGCCATTGTGCTGTATATTAGTACAAGGAGATCAGTGTGGTGTTTCAGTAAATATACCCAAATACTGTACTACAGTTTTCAAGGTGGGTGTACTCTGTTTGAGCACTTCTCAAGCAGAGAGAACACTTTTTACTCCATTTGACAGCTATAATTACACCACTAGTTGCTTTCAAGATATATATATATTTTACGTAAAACATGTGATCAACTCATAAAATATGATACATTGTTAGAGATTAAACTACACAACAGTATGTAAAACACTGATATTTATCTCCCTCCCAACCAGCTGCAACATTAAAATGCTGCTAACACATTAATGCATCAATAATGACGATCCAATTTTAGAACAAATGACAATATAACACTAACAGGGGCCATTCCGCCTGCGTTATATATTTACTTGTAATACTTTGCATCGGTTTAAAACACTTAGGTAACATTTAGCTGTATTTCTATTTGCAAAGCACTATTTTCTACGCTGTGTTATTGCTCTTATAAATCTGAATACCTCTTCCACCACTGCTGTTCAATGAACATCAACATAAATAAAGATAGTAGACTTTATGAGAATAAACATGGTATTTTGCTCTAGTTCTACATAATGGTAGCATTTGATTGACCCCACACTGACAGCATCACTCAGTACATTTTGTGATTTCTGCTTATATTTGCAGGTAAGTTACCGTGCCAGACAGGGCATGACACACCGAGCCGTAGTCAAGATGATTGCCGTCTGGGTGCTAGCCTTTATCCTGTATGGCCCAGCCATCATATTCTGGGAACTGGTGGTGGGCAAAAGACGTGTGCCAAAGGATGAGTGCTTTGCAGAGTTCTATTACTCTTGGTACTTCCTGCTGAGTGCCTCCATGCTGGAGTTCTTCTCTCCTTTCATCTCTGTGGCTTTCTTCAACCTCAGCATTTACCTCAGCATACGCAGGAGGAGGCTCCACAGCAGGGAGGCCCATCTCCACCTTCAATTGAGCGAACCTGCCTCTGCCCAGGGGAAAGGTATCCCCCTGTCCCACAACTGTGGGTTTGGGATGAAACTGGATGTAAGAGGCTCCATCAACTCCCAGACCTCCTCTCCCAGTTTGAGTAAACTAGATCCCTCAACCAGCAGGGCTTCCCATCCTAGCCGTCTGTCCAGGGATAAGAAAATTGCTAAGTCCCTGGCCATCATAGTGTGTGTGTTTGCCATCTGCTGGGCACCGTACACCCTACTGATGATCATCCGTGCTGCCTGCAGAGGGCAGTGCATCCAGCATCACTGGTACGAGGTCACCTTCTGGCTCCTGTGGCTCAACTCTGCTATTAACCCATTCCTGTACCCGCTCTGCCACAGTAGCTTCCGCAGGGCCTTCAGCAAGATTCTCTGCCCGAGGCGGCATACTACTCCCCTATCAGCTGTCCTTCGCACTGGCCATTGACAAGCAGATATAAAAGCTCGATGAACAATGTGCCAAAACTGTGGATGGAAATCTTTCAAATCCGACACCATAAGCTACACAGTGTCAGCAGATAAAGCTAAACTGTGCATCGCGGTTTGTCACAAAGACCATAATTAATTGTTTCCAAAAGCTTTTCAGTGTTTGGATGTACAAGGTTTGTACTGTACAGTATGATGTTATTTACGGTTCGCTGTGTCCAAATCTAAAGCTTGTGTTTAACATCCATCATAGGCATAAAAATCATTTTCCTGTCTGAAACTGAATACATCAACAGTTTTCACATACTGTAAGAAACAAGTTCAAGATTTGTCTTGAATATGTGCAGGCTAGCTAGCAATCCATCAATTATGTTGTCTAGTTTGATATGTTAAGCTGTTATCTTGAATGTATATATATATTGATGATTCATGTTCTTAAGGAGGTATGTGTTGCACTCACTGTGACATTCAGTGAAACAGATCCCTTTGCTGTTAGAAGGTGTACCAGTGATGATGTCACAGAAGCACAGAGATGAAAAGAAAAAGTATAAATGTTTGTCAAAAGAAATGTGTTCTTTTTGGGGCACATTGTAATACAAAAGATTAGTAATGGATCACATTTCTCCGCACACTGAGTACATTGTCAGCACATTTATCATCTCATGTAAAAAAACAAAAAACAAAAAACATGTCTTCTTTGCTGTACTATAGAAAAACAACAAAAACAAAAGTAAAAAAAAGTTAAAGATTATTTCTCAGTTTGTTTTACAGAAAGTATTTGCTTTTCTGTAAGATAGAGAAGTAATCTGTTTACAAACAATACCAAAAATGGTTTTACTGCGATCAGCAGATGCATGTGTACTTGTGTGCCACTAGATGTCACCATTCACCTTTACAGCTTCCTGTGTGCGCAGCGCTTGAACATTAAGCTTCAATCCGTCATAGAGAGAAGTCAATCTTTGTCGTTGGCCAGGGTTCCCATTAACTGCTTTACTTTTTTTGTTTGTACTTGAACTGTTATATACGTGCTATATTTTTGCACCAGGACCCTGACTGATTGAAAGTGTAGTAGAAGAATATAACCATAGGTCCATAAAAATGGACGCTGCTCACTTTATATTTATTCACAGTGAGTCCTTTCACTATCACATAGTGTCACTTGTAATTGCAAAACCTGAAGAGTTACATGTAATTGTTTTGTAGTCCTCACGTGCTTTTATGCCATATATCCTTTGGTAACTATTTGTGTAACTTAAATATTAGAGTAGTGGCCTAAATGTTGTCCTCTTGGCTCGGAAGAAAGTTCAATCTTTGGTGCTTAAGTTAATTAAGTTTAGGATTTTCTAAAAATAAACACATCTCTGTTACTGGCTGAGGGTCTTTATGCACATTATAGAATAAATTAATTAAGCTCTGTTACGCATTATAAATGTAGATGCTGTCTACCTGATGGCTAATTGGGTCAGTGCCAAGTGCAGAGTGGCTTTTGTTTGATGTGCAGATGAAATGCTGAGAGTGCAATACCATTTTTGTATTGTTCCCCTGTCTAGCTATACGATTTGATAGATTAAATGAGTTCTTTCCAGATGTAGACTTATTAGACCTGTAATTACGCCGTCATGTTAGATAGTGGGGTCACATTTGCAGGTGCCATGGGTCCCACAGGGGACTTACATTGCTCAAATTGTTGCTGTTGCGCGTGTGCACATCTGGGCCCCTGGTCAGGTGCTGGGAATAAGGGCACAGCTGCAGGGAACAGGCCTCTGCTCCCCCCTCCGCCTCACTCCCTTTCCTCGCCTGTGGCGTGGTGGGGGGGGGGACGGGGGACGGAAGCACACTTCTGACCAGAGGGATGCAAGAGCATTTCCCTCGGGACGACAGAACTGCATTTATCAGCGGAATGGCAAGCCTGGGTTCACTCCCTGTGTATCTAAATGTGACAGCAAGAGCCTGTATCACTGTGAGGAACGCTGGCACTGTGTGCAGTTATATTAGGAGCACTACTGCAATTGATTTTGTTGATAGATTGAAATGCCATGACATGTGTGCCAAACCGATGTAGCTACTGACTGAGGCTGTGTTGCGGATCATGCCAACCTAAATTGGTCAAGGAGGAAAAAATACAGATGAGAGATTTTAATTATGTCCGCATGCAGAGGTTGTGTGTGTGTGTGTGTGTGTGTGTGTGTGTGTGTGTGTCTTTTTAAGCATGTTCAGTAAGTATACGTGAATGTGTTTATCACAGGGGATTGGATGTCTGTGACCCCAAGCAATGGATCTAAAAGCAGAGACCCCAAATGGAGCGCACCTATGCCCCTTAAGTTTATAGAGCCCCATTAGCAGAGACTCAGTGATCTGAGGGGGAAGAAGGCCTATATAACTTCCCCATGAGAATCTCTGTATAGTTAAACTCTTAGAGTTTCCACTTTTAAGCACTTTCTTCGGATGACTTGATGCTGAATTCTCTTGTTTTCAAACTGGACAACACCTCTAGTCTACACAATAGACAATAAAAAGTAACAGATGTGGAATGAAGCCACTGTAACATGGAAAAAACACACAAGACATTTTCATATACCAGCACTCCTCACAACATGGCGATGACCAATATAGCATTTTAAAAGTCACGCTGGAATATAAAAGTGAGCCGGCAGACAAGACCAAACCACTTTAGTCTGCAGATACAGGTCAAAACTTTGACCTCTTTCGAAGTTGTAGCATCACTTAGTGTACATCTTCCCCCCGCGTAGGCTGTTCACTTTCTCAGCTAACTAAATGTAAACCGCAGTTTAATATTTCATGAGGGACATACTCAAAAAGAAAAAAAACAGACTATTTCTGCTTCATTTTTGCCTTTTCCGTTCTTCCGTTTTTCCCTCTGCTTTTTCCTGCAGTGTACTTCCTGACTAGAGATTAAATAATTCCATTGGAATCCTCTTAGGATGGGTTCCCAGCACTTGGCAATTAAACAATTACATTTAATCAGCATGGGGCGACGCTTCAAGTCACCCTCATTTCAGACGTTGATTAAAAGCAATTCTGCAGTGGTTATAGCTGTCGACATTCGAAACTGTGGTTCACTTAGGTTTACTCCGTCTGTGGGGTCAGGTTGGATAGCAATATGGCAGGTTCAGCAACGGTCGAGTGCTGTACCCGCCTGTGGTGGGTAAAACAGTGATGATAGAACTCATGGCCGACCTAATATTGTCCCTTAAGTCAGAACTAGTTAGATTACTTTGAGACACTCTGACCCTACATCAAAGAAGACTCAACTAACAATAGAAAGAAGAGGGACATTAAGTTATGCATGTGGGAGTCCAGATGTGTGAGCGTGTTTGTGTTTTTTTTTTTTCAGGTGCATTTGACTGCGTCCACACACAGCTGTTTCCTCCTGCAGCCACATTCTGGTGCATCTGCAGTGAATGAAATGCACCTTGACATATACAATTTCATCATGCCATGCAATAACATCTCCCTCTGTGATGGCAAACAAGCTGAGAGAGGGCACAGGGGGCGGAACACTTTTGTGCGTGAGAGCCGTATTTGACATCATTGCCCGAGTGAAAGAGCGTATACGTGGCACAGCACTGGAGCGGACCGTCGTCTTTTCCCGTGCAACGCAGATGAGTTGTGATGGATACCCGGCCCCCTCTTGTGAAACCCAGGTGCCCCTGTTTCATAAGGCACCCCACTGGCTCCCCAGCCCTCTTAATTAGCGGCTTCCGTCAGCTGGCACAAAGGCCTTCAAGCACCAGTCGCTGGCCTCTGCTGCTGAAGCGATCCAGTTCGCTCCAGATCTTCAGCTTTTCTAACAGATGGATATATGGGCGGGCTGAGTAAGAGGCATCAAGGTTTTCGCAAACCTGTAAATAACCTGTGAACTTCCTCCAATCTAGATCAGACGCCTGCATGCTGTTGAATGCTTCATTCAGTGTGCTTTTTTTGGTATTAATAAATATTGGCAAACTGCAGAGAATGGGCTTTAAGTTTTAGTCTGCAGGTACTCTGAAACGAGACACTGATGATTTTTGTATGATGGATTCAAATATAGATAAAAGGTATCACCAGGACTGGAATGTAGCCTTTTTTCCCGGTGCAGTATCACAGCAGTGCTGTAACAATAGTGTCTTCTAATGACATTCCCCTAGTAACTTCTTGCCTCTAAGAATCTCACGGGGGAAGCACTACAAAAAGTGATAATTACATGAAATATACATAGAGAATAAAGGGAGCATGTTTACATAACCAGGCCCATAAATATCTGACGGAGAAGACATTGTTCTCCGACTCCTTTTAAGCTGATCTCCCAGGGATGCCATTTTAATGACATGATGGTTTAAAGAGATGCTGCTCCATCTCGTTCCATATTTAATTAACTTTTGCTTTTCTGACGCAGAGCAAAAAACAGAATAAAGAACGCGTGATAGAGACAAACACACACGATAGCGAGGAGACAATAACAAATAGCTGGGAGAACAGAGAGGAGGCAGGGGGAACATGAGCAGAGACCTTGTCATGCTTTTGTGAGCTGTTTACAATACAAGAGATGCAAAGGGAGGAGGAGGGGCAGTGGAAGAGCGAGAGAGCGATGAAGACTGACATGGGTGAGAGAGGATGGCAGTGAGGGATGAGAGAGACAGGAGAAGAATGAAAGACAGATTTAAAGAAAATTGAGGGATGAAATTAAGAAAGAGGAGAAGATGAAGAGATGAGAGAGAGAGAGCGGGGCACTCTGGTAGAATGAGGCACTTGTTCTCCCAAGGGGCTCCATTATGGAGCATTATTTAGTTCATCACCAGTAAGAGGGAAATAAATATATAACTAACAGTGACAGTATTTGTTTAACGGTCATTCCAGATTTACCAAAAATAAATAGAATAAACACTTAAAAACAGAAAGTCATTTTTGTATTCTATTCAAGCATCCGTCTCCACATTTTGTGCCACACATACCAGTGTTCATCTGCCACGTGTTCAGCAAGTAAACACGTGGCAGATGTCAGCGAGCAAAGATGATTTCACATCAGCATTAGTATACTATGTACATATACAGAGATTACTAAAGACTATGAAAGCACTAAATCGTGGAGAAAACGTTGTCTTTTTCTGCGTTAGGTGGTCTCTCACACTAATTGTATGGGAACACTTGAACCGGTTTCCGCAGTCACACCAAGCTGAAATCATTTAACCGATAGTTTCATGTTCTGCCGCGTACATACAAGGGACTCTGCCCAGAATTCGGTGGGCTCTCCTCTCCTCTCACTCGCAGTGTGTTTTCTATTTTTACTGTCAGCTGTATGCGGTGTACGCTGCATTATTGATACTTTCTTTCCCTTTTTCTCTCGTCTTGTTAGACTCTTCCCCTGTCCTCATATCATCACATCGGCCACATTGGCTGCGGAGCCTGGAGAATTGCAGTGAATTTGACCCCGCCTGGTCTATATTTTATTGCTTGGTGTTTAATACATTTTTGAAAATCCTCCCCCGGCCCATCCACACACACACACGCACACAAAAAAATAAAAAATCTAGTGCTTTGTCTATTTCAAGTGTTTGTCTTGGTGAGGCAGAGGGAGATGACTGGAGGGGGGTACTCACCTTCAGCTCTCCCAGTTCGGAGACAGGGGGCATCATTATGAAAGGCTGCGGAGGAGGGTGAATATAGTTTGCTCGTCTGTATGTGTGTATCTCGGTGATGGACTGACGGCTCGGCCAGGGTGTACCCTGCTTCTTGCCCAATGTGTGCTTGGATGGGCTCAAGTCCCCTGTGACCACGAACAGGACAAGCCATTTAGAAAATGCATGAGGGGATGAAAGATGCATCTTCCTGACAAAAATCAGCTCGGAATACATGTTTTATTTCTCAAATACATTTATTTAGATCTTCAAGTTTTGTAGCTTCAAGTGTAGGATGAAGGTGGACATCCTGTGATGGTACTATTAACAGCTCTAGGTGCCCTTTATAATTATTACCTGAGAACTGTCTTTGCCATCTGATACATTTGCAGGACAAAAATCTGTAAAGTAACTTTACTCTGAGGAGGAGTATCTGAGATAAAGTTTTTTACTGTTTTCGCATTACTACAATTACATTTTAAAGACACAGAAACAGGGTGTACACAAAATGACACAGAGTATAAAGAGAAGACAATCTCAAAGGCCCTTATGCTTGAGCCATAAACACTGTGGCAGAGCTACATACTCAGGTTGGGGCGTCCATTTTGCTGACACAGTTCTGAAGTGAAAAGATGGCTCTCTGGATGTGGAGTGCCGGTGAGAGAGATTGGGTTACCCCCCAGACACTCCCAGCGGATCTCCTGGCCAAATGGATCTGGATCTCACGCTTGGGCGCACATATTGAATGCCATAAGAGGTCTCTGAGGTCTCTTTCAGTGGGAGGACTGCGCAGCCTAACAATGTGGAGTTTTCACCAAACTAAATTTTGCACCAAAGAAGAGTGATAGCAAGGACACCGGAGCACAAGGGAGGAACACTGAATGCATACCTACATTTGTGCAGGTTGTTCATACCGGATAAAGTCGCTCATTCTCAGCCTTGAGGATAGCGACATACTGCACAGGTTCAGTCGGATCTCATAATTCTTTAATAAAGTCTTAACACAGGCTGCCACTTTTCTCTCTAGGGGACTACGGGTATTAGGCTGTCAAATGAAAAAATCCAAAATGCCATTTCGCACACATCCTGGACAAGAACAATGGCATTTCAGCTACTCCCAAACATCTGGCCCGACTGCCCGGTTTCACCAAGGACTGGCCAGGCTCTTAGCTGCAGTGAGTGCCACTTGCATCGAGGTTATGTTCAGGCAACGACACCGCAGAGGATCAGCCGGGCTAAGTTATCTCTGAACAAGCCATCCATTCTGCTGCTTTCTGATGGAAGAATACTTGGGGGCTGTGTAATTATATTGCTTTAAACGAACCCCTGAGAACGCCCCTGCCAAAGCGCCCACAAAGTCTCACACTTGGGCGAGTGTCAGAAGCACATCGCTTGTGTATGCACTCATGTGTGTAGCTGTGTGTGTGTGTGTGTGTGTGTGTGTGTGTTTTTTGCTGCTTAGGCTGGCGTTAAAAGGGAGGCCGCAGTGGTTCTGATACGCCTCACAAGTGAATTTAATTAAATCATAAATATGAGCTGGAGGCCGCCACCCAATTTAATGTAATGGATGATGTGGGCCAGTCCATCTCTGGCAAAGCTAAGTTCTGGACCTGTTCAAATGCCCTTGAAGCTTATTAAAAGTGTCTGGCACGCGGAGATGCTAGCAAAGTTGTTTAATGGATGCCCAGCTTGCATTCAGTATGACAGTTAATGTTGGGCCATACCATCTCTGCTTTGGACGAGGGGTTGCGTCGCCACTGTGGAAGTCTGTCAATGTAAGAGGCCCAGTCCATTCCTCATATGATCTCCATTATAGTAATGTAATAAAAGCTAATAGATGACAGACAACATGCCCATTTGATGTTACGCTTGACATAAGAAAATGTAATAAGCTTCAGAAACCCCGACAACACAGATTATTTTCTGTGACAAATGTTCTTTAATATTAACATCCGGAGGGGTCACATTTAAATGTTTTCATATATGCTCTGCACATACTAGATCAAAATAGGAATATTACTGTGCTTCTCTTAGTATTCTATATATGTTTTAATCTGCATACAATATATGGTATTATGCATTATTTCATACGTACAGTACATAATGAAACGCAGTATATTCTGAGTATTGAAAATAAAGGGTGAGTTTACGGTCATTCGTTACTCACAGTATAACCTAGTTACAATGAGCTCCATCGCTGAGCCTTTTCAAAACAAGACTGAAAGCTTCCGCAAATGTTATGCCGCTCGCGTGTCACCGTTGATGAATCATTTGCTGGGACAGACAGATGTTGTTGCATGGGTTTCGTCCCATCCGGCAAAGGCAGAAGAATCTTTTTCCGCGGTCTCCCGGAGTGCTGGAGACTCCCTAAATAGACCCAGCGCAAGGGTGTGTAGAATGGGGACCGCACAGGGTGATGGGTAATGGAGTCATTAATAACACAGACCTCCCTTAAGATGCTCAGATGTTTGTTAGCGAGAGCCACGAGGGAGTGAGGGAAAATAGGCTGCAATTTGATACAAGGAAGAAAAAAAAAAAGCAGTGTACACTTTTGATGATGTTGTTGCCATCATAGGTCTTGTCTGACAGGTTAATTGCGTTCACAGACATGAACACTCAGATACAGATAACAAGTATTTTATGTAGATAATGAAGGGACAATGAAGCCGTTTCCTCATACAGTTTTTAATATTTCCATCACATGTGCAACACAAAAAAATGAGGTCTGCCAAATACAGAACTCCATATTTGTACAATACATTTTAATAAGATCGGAGATAACTGTCCTTTTGCTGCAGGAGATGGTGGTTTCCTGTAAACTGTGTACGAACAACTCTCAATCAAAATGTCAAAACGTTAAAGTTTTATACAAAAGTGCATCTCAGGTTCAATGAATGCAAAACATTTACATAACAGAATGGTTTAAAGTTTCGTATGCTGCCACAGCGGCTTCCAGCTTGAGCAGAGAGCGATGGGACAATGCAAAGAAACAAGAGGAGTACTTGGGCACTCTCCAGGAGAGCCAGGGACCGGGTTTAGTAACCACACTTTATCCCCAAAACAGACTGACATTATATTCAGTCTTAATGACCCCAAATCCAAATGGATTTACTCCCCTACTGCGAAAAAAAATATCTATAGATAACAAAACATAAAGAAAAAAAAATATTCCAGTAATCTCCAGGCTTCAACGAGCAGTAAACATTGACAACAGAAATGTACAGGTTGAGTCAGTGGGCTGGAGATTTCCCCATGCTCTGAGAGCCACATGGGAGCTTCACGCCTCTGTTCATGAGCCAACCAGAGGAACTAGCCTTTTCCAAATCTGTGTCACTGCGTTTGCATATATCAGCATCCTGTCCTGTTTTTTCTGTTCTCTGAGTTGTTCTATCCGTTTTGTTTTTTTCCTCTCATCTGAACTCTGGCGCAGGCAGTGCAGATTAGACGCACCGCCGTTCTCAGCTGGTCCTCTGGCCAGCCATGTTACGACAAGATCTCAGCCTATGCTGGTGAATCGAGCTTTTCTACCCCATAATGATTGACCACGTTAGGATACAGAGTGACATACTGGCGCTGATGAAAAGAGTCCTCCTGACAGCACTTGCCGGCTCCTACAGCTCCCTACGCTCTGGGTAGCACCCTGTTTCTCCTTTACACAACTGGTTGAGTCTCATCTGGTCTGATTGACGATGTCAATGATATTTTTTTGTACCCCCCCCCCCTTCTCTTTTATTCGGACAAACATTTTGAACTGTACATTGGCAAATACTGTATAAGATTCCAATATAGCTGTAGTTAAGCAACACATGAAGAATTCTATGTACAAACAAGTTGGCTTTTTCTTTATTTTTGAAATAATGGTTAGTAAAGAACGGAGAGGGCTCTTTTATGTTCTTTCCCCCTCTTCCTTTTATTTTCTTCGCCTTTCTTTTTTCTTGCTGTGGCACGGTTCCTTGTGGTGAAACTGAGCCGAAAGGTTCGGCGCAAGACAGTCAGTGGGAAACTGCACTGATGGTAATTGGCGGTCAGACATTATTTTTTTGCGTCACGTGATCCTTGTTCTTGGCCACGGCGCTGATCTTTGCCATGTTAGCTGCTGTGCTGAGTCAATGCGTGGTTCTGCAAGGACACAGAAAGAAACAAGGGAGACATTATAATCACATACAACAAATGTATCTTTCAGTTTCCTTCCCTTTCATTAAAAAAGGACATTGGGGACATTTTTTTTCATCTTTTATAACAAGGACACCGAGAAATATATTTCAAATGGTACGATTGACAAACACTTATCATTATCTTGACATTTGAACGACGTCATCATTAGGCTTTCACTATTCAGATCCAATTAACTTGCACAGGAGTTGAACCTGTGTGGATTAATAGCAGTTTGGGATTAAGCAAAGTTAAGTCGGGGTCTAACACGAAGGCACAAGACCACTGACCACCACGAGCATCGCATCAGAAAACCTGCCTCCCGAAGACTGTGTGCATGGAGGCAAATCCAGAACAAGACACTGGCACACCTGATGGAACGTTATCCTCAGATCCAGTGATTACATTCATCAAAATGTGCTGTAAATGCACGGTGCAGAAAAAAGCAGTCGAGAAATACTTTGTGTGAAGGTGAGGCCGTTGACGATTTGATCCTCTACACTTCTGTAAATATGTAACGGTGCACAATTCACTACAACGGGATAACACAGTGACAATATCACTCTGTTTTGCTGTATCTCCCAAATTTATGCAGGCACACACACAGGCCGTTGAGAGTGGTTGTAGTGGGGCAGCTGTGCCAGGTTCTTTAAAGGGAGTGTGGACCAGGGGGTGTGTAACTGGTGTCCCTGGTGGGCTGAATCCAGGTCATCTTTTGAAGTGACTGCTAATCCCTTTAATGCAAACTACATGCCCCACTTGCTGCGCTCTGTTTAAAACACGGCCTTGGACTCTCTAAACTGGCATGGACTAGACACACCTGTCACAGAGTCATCAGCACGCATGCATGCACAAACACACACACACCTCAGCGCACACATACATTTTGTCCCGCACACAGGCACAGAATTAAGTGCACAAGCATGCGAGATGACAGTTTTACGGATAAACTAGTTTGAAAATAAGGCGGTGAGGGAGAGACGATCTAAAAATGATTACCGCAACCTCAGAGAGAAGGTTTACCAAAGCAGTCACCTTCAGTCCTGTTGGTGCAGAATCCCTCGGGCAGTTCTAGAAGACGACTATTAGCCCCCCCCCCCCTTGCATTCATTCCTTCCCTCTTTACCCTTTCAGCTGCCTCCATATAAAGCATTTAAACACCTCGACAGCTTTCCTTTCAGCTAGGGCGATTACTTCCCGACAGGTGGGGTAATAAGCTGTTTGACGGGGGAGCAGGAGTGTGACCCCTGTAAGGGTTAGCGTGGCTCACCTGGGCCCTGCGCTCCCTTTTTTTTTTTTTTTTAAGAGGCGGCCCCGGACAGCTCCTCTGATTCCCGCTCTCCTCTCTTGCTGAAATAAACCTCCTTTAAGTGAGTCTGGGAGGAGACTCCCCACGGGACACTCTCTCTCTCTCGCTCTCCCCACCTCACCTCCTCCCCCTCCTCCTCCTCACACTCCACCAACCCCCTACCCCCCGGTGAAGACATCCTTGGCGTTGCTGAGGAGGGACAGGAGCACGGCAACCTTATTAATGAATGCGGCCCATTACCCGTCAGCCTGGCTCCTCGGCGACTCCCAGAAGCCGCTGCAGTACGTGACTTCAAATGGCAGGATATTGACACGAGCAGAGCAAAGCGGCTAGGAGTGTGTGTGACCGTGTGTGTGTATGTGGAAGAGAGAGAAACAGAGAGAGGAAAATTGTGCTCAACTGAGTGTGCATGCCTTTGTGCGAGTGTGCCAGTGCGTCTAGGTGTGTGTGTGTGTGTGTGTGTGTGTGTGTCTGTGAACCCCAAAGGAACGTAGCTCCTTGGATATAATGTAGGGCTCATAACAGCTATTAGAGGGGAAAATAACCCCTCTGGGGAATGGCTCCCCCCTCTGCATGTCCCAGCTCTGTCTGACACACACTGCATTCTACCTTTTCCTTAAACATGCCAGGAGTTTTCTCACTGAGGGCTTTCTCAAGGACGGTGTTAAACGACTTCAGTGGCTGTGGCAGCCATGCAGACTAAAGGGAAATAGAGGAAAAAGAAAACCTTAAAAGAAGATGAAACTGATACCTTTATCTCTGTGGATACTAAACTCTGCAGTGTAGCTATAAACTGTTCTGTGTATGAGTATGGAGGGTGAAAGGGAGAGGGGGGAATTCACTTTCCAATCTTCATCCTTGTCAAGTTTCTTCAAGTACCTCTGCATCGACGGCGGCACTGTATAAGTTAAATACTGACAGTACCCAACCACAAATGTCAAATCCGATGTGAAACACCCAATTGAGATCTTCGTGCAATAAAATGACCAAAATGTCCACTAATGGAAGATGTCACTAATGGTGTCACACCAGAATCACAGCAATTTAGGATTAGATGCCCTCCATTAAGCCTTTTAGCTCTCGTCCTAACTCCCTCCTTCAATGCCACCATATTCCCCCTGAAACTCTGCCATTCCTCTTATCATCCATTTCCTTCCCTTCTATCCAACCCTTAATCTCCTCCTCGATCCTTTCAACCACCTGCTGGCCACACAGGCCTGCTGCAGGGCCCAGTTAGCAGCAGTGTTCAGGTAAACCATAGCAGTCAATTCTCCACTAAATTAAATTTTGCTCTGATCAATAATGCGCACCCGCTTCTCCCTTATGAAGACTGGCTGCATTGGCTCGGAGCGCGCCTCCTCCTCCTCCTTCTCTCCTATTCTCTCATCGGCTCTGTGCCACCGTTAAAACCACCACTTTCATCTGATTACATCACCCCACTGCAACGCCCTCAGGGGTAGTGCGAGAGGAGGGGGAACATCCGGCAGGGGTCTTGTGTACTCATGCAAACAGGTGCAACATGTCTTAGGAATTTAACACTGCCGCAGAGAGGGTGAGAAAAAACGGGGAACGATTGGGGGAAGAGCAGAGAGATCGAGACTGAGCAAGTTGGCTGGGGAGTTGATTTATTAACTAATCATTCTTTATGTCGTTCCCCATTGCTCTGGTCTCTCATCGATAGCACCCGGTCTCCAGTGAGGCAACAGAGGTGCATTTCTTACATCAGCTCTGCAAAGGAAGTCCAGCGAACTAACACACATCCTCTCTTTCATCTGATCTCGCTGCATTAAAGACAATCCTCACACTGTCCAACATCACAGAGAGATGTAAAGCCTAATCGCAAGCTAACAATGTTTGATTAGCACGATGTTAATACCTGCAGAGCACATGTTGAGTAGCCTACATTGCGTTTGCTCTTCTACCTGGTGTTATCCAGCATGTAACATTAAACCCAGGCTTTATCGAGTGGTTAGAGAGCTGAGTGAGCAGTAACGACTTTTTAAGCCGTGGCCTTTTCAAGGCACCTCTCACAAACAAAGCACTTTACACAAGCGTGGAACTGACCACCGAATTAAACTTGAAACTTGAATGTGTAATGTTACGCATCCCTCAAATTCTAGGAGCTCTATCTTCAAATTCTAATAATTTTTTAACATTTATACGTCATGTATTGCATAGAAATGTCACCAAAATTAAATTGAGTGCATGAACTAACCCTGAATAAAAGCCCTGGCGTCACTAGGTAAAGGAAAAGACTGTTACGTAACCTAAGTACGTTACGTAAGTCCATGTTGAGTTTTGGTTTCACACCGGACACAAACAGCAGCCTCCTGGGTAAAAGACCATCCATCCATCCACCCAATCCTCCTCTCTACATCAACTGAGACAATGGACGACCGGAGCGGTTGCTGTGAGCATTTTACATTGTTTCGGATGGGTTCACATTAGAATTAGTTGAAAGACTGGTGCGTCTCATCAAGACCCTGTAAAGGGTGCCTTGCGTCGGTATTTGACGAACTGGGCATAATACTGAGCTGGTATTTTGGTTCTAATGTAAAGTAATAAAAAACTAGAATTACCACCTCATAGTTGTATGCCTCTGTATGGAAAAAAAATGTGCTCAAGGCGTTCTTTAGATATAGTGTTCATGAGAATCATATGGGCCAAAAGGCCACAGTGACCTTTGACCACCAACATGTTTTCAGGTCATCTTTGAGTCCAGGCAAATTGACTTAAATTTGTGTCAAATTTGAAGAAATTTGCTCAAGGTGTTCCAGAAATGTCACGTTCATGAGAATGGACCAGACGGACAACCCAGAAATATAATGCCTCCGGTTACGCCCGTCGCCGGCGCAGAGGCATAAAACAAACGAACCCAAAATGTACTTGATCTGAATGTTTACAGGATATAAAAAGGTATTGAAAGTCAGACAGGAAGGACTGCAACTATTGAACAGATTATTAGGTTGGGGTATTCTCTGAGAATATTGTAATTGTAAATTTCTGACAAATGGAAAACGTAGTCGCATTAACGAATAATTACTTAAAGAATCAAGACATTTATTTGTGTCTGTTGACCTGCTAACATGTGCCCGTAACGGTAAAGCATGGATGTGCTAATGTGAGTCAAGTAAGTCTTAGTTACAGCAAAGATTACTCATTAAAGAAACTATTTAATTAGAAGAGTGAAGCACATTTATTTTAACCCCTGCGGCTAAAGTGTCTTATTTAGTTTATCTATAATCCAAAATTTGATGGAACAGTCAAAAACTGTAAACATCCCCCTCTAAGCTCTGATTAAAAGTCTCATCAGTCTGTGCGGAGTTCCTCCAACCCTGCGTGGCTGACATACGGTAAGTCTGCATAGCTACATCTGGAGCACGGGGAGTGTGCGCAAAACCACTGAGACCTGTGCATACCCGTAGTCATCACTCAGGAATTTAATTAACGCACAAGAGAACGTCATCAAATGATACTAAAACAAAGAACCCGTGGTCTGTCTTTGAGGTTCCGAGCTGCAGGGTGACTTAAAGCAATCGAATGACTTGGATATTTGAGCTAAAGCATGTCTGTGCAATGATTGAAGGATGAACAATAGACAATGCTGACCCCGTCGCGTCTCGGGTAATTTTGCAAAAGTTCTGCCACCGTGAGAAGTGTTTTCTTATCGCTCAAAACCGCTGTGGAGAAAGACAAGAGTGCTGCATTCTGCCTTGATCTTTAATGGTGTGTTGAACTCGGCCCAGTATTGACTCAGTCCTCCCTTTGTGCATTCCCTACTGTTGACCAGTCCACTGAGGGAGTAATCCTTCCCTGCTTTGACCTCAGGCCAGGCTTACTGTTGGCTAGTTTTGGCCAATGAAGAACACAATCAAATAAATAAATAAATAATACAGCAGTTGGCATTCTCCACAGTCATCACTTATCAGGCCGTAGGGAGGGTTGACCCCAAACACTGTTGTGCCACAACCGGCCTGGTCTCCTTGGTAACAGACTGTCTTGTTTGAAGTGAGGTGCCCGGGGAGTCATGGTCGTACAGTAACGGCACTAGGCTAGGCTGGAGTTGACAACAGCAACGTATTTCAATGTCTTCCACGTGTGTCACTTTGCGTCCGGTCGCATTTGCACTGAACGCTTGTAAAAATATATATTACATCCAGAGTGGTGGAAACGCTTTGATTAGATGTCTAACTACCCCGACCAAATGCTTCTGAGGTGTAACCGGAGATGACGGACCACCCTTTTTGTGGGTTGGTGCTTTGTAGCTCCAAATGATACTCATTACCCTGTCTAAGTAGACAAGTGAATGGTACTAGAAACACACTATGCAGTGATCCCGCTGTTTGACTGAGGTAGCAAAACAACTGCACAACTGCTGTGTTATTATGGGGCCTCATTAAGTGAGGAGAGAGTGGGAGACGGGGGAGAGGGAGAGAAGGAAGGCAATAGAGAGAGGGCCAGCGAGAGGGAGGAGAAAAGAAAAAAAGAGAGGTAGAAAAAAAACAAAAAACACTGGAGAGCGATACAAACGTAGTCTGAGGTGATAGCAACACACAGATGCCTTTCCAGCCAAAATGAAGACTATGACTAAAGAACCCAATTAAGGGCTTTCTTAGGGGAGCCATCTTGGGAGGGGGATGGGTCTTCCTGGGACATGAGCCCTGGGCTACATCCTCTAATTAGACAGAGCGAGGGGGGAGGATCTCTGCCTGTCACTGGGAGGGAGATGGGGTCCATGGGGTTCCACATGTCAGTCCCAGAAACAAAACACAATTACTCTCACATTTAACCACTTCAGTCAGGGACAGACTTTGACTAGGGATGTTACAGAGCACCTGCCCCCCCTCCCTCTCCTGTGCTGCTTGATATGCCACTTCACAAATGCAGCGATTTCTGAGGACTACATTTTCTGCTGCATTTCCGTGCTCCTGTCGGAGGGCGAGAGTCCATCTGCACTCACATGTTTTCCCACCGAAATGGAGGAGCGAATCGGAACATTTGCTTTTAATTGACGAGTATCATTTCAACATCCTTTTCCAAAACTGAAGAGACAAATTACTTCGGTGGTGCGACGCGTGGATCTGAAATTCGAGAGGGAATAATTGTTCTAATGCGGTTTATTTTGGCCTCTGCTGCATTTTGTTAACATCAACAGCATAATAGACACTTGGAAATCAAATCACTACAGGCAGTAAATTCAACCTGCAGTGAATTTCCTGAGAAGCGCCGAAAAATGGCATTCATCAAAGTTGCTGAAAGAGTCAATGAAGAAAAGTAAAGGAGACATGTTTGAGGGAGAGATCCGGTGATGGATTGTAGCGCAGCACACCAAGCGTCTCCTCTTTGTTTGGATTTAACTTTCCCCAGTGGTGCAACACAGGAAGAAAAAAAAAAAAAAAGAACAGCTCAAAGGCTTCTGGGAGTTTTTGTCATGTCTCCCTCCAGACAATGTGTTTGCATGCACATATCATACCCTGGGAGAGACAGACACAAAGACAAACACATACAGCACGCACACAGATGTATACACACACACAGAGAGAAAGAGAATATCCTCCCAGGATCATTAGGTCTGTCATGCTGTCTAATTCTGATCCACCTACAAAACTAGAACACCACCATTGTGATACATCACTAGTCATCTAAGGGTGTTTATGTCCGCATTTACAGTGCTGTACATAATTATAAATAAGCTTAAATATTAATGATGGCGCCTCACAAGCAGCTGTTTTTTTTTCTTCTTCTTCCTTAAGTCATTGTTCTTTTATTTTGTAGTGCAACTTTTTTGAAATGGTGACAGAATTCTGAGTACCTGGGGTGATGAAGAAGAAAACAAGTTGTCATATAAAAGGAAAAGAAATATATATATGAAACTTTCAAAAGCGTGAAGAGCTGTCACACTTGGCAGATCAAGATATTCAGAGAAAATGGGGTGTTTGAGAGCCGCTTAGGGACAATCACACAAAGCTTTGCTTTTGTGCGACACTTTTGGGACGTGGGGCAGTTGGGGCGTTTTTGGGGGCATATTTTAAAATTCATAAAAAAAAATAGAAAGAAGAAAAACAAACTTCTGGGAATTAGGTCTCTGTGCTTCACGCTGAAGAGTGCCATTCTTAAGACTTCATGAAAAGGAAGGTGGATAAGAAAGGCCTAAAATATTGTTTTGAAGAGCCATCATTCATAGAATGAACTCAAGTCATTCCATGCATTATGATATTAAAAACACAGCACACTGCATACACACTTTGGATGCATTTAACCCATTTCATGCAGCCGTTTCCTCTATAGCGCTCTCTCCCCAACTCCCTCCCCTCTCTGCGGCTGTCCATCTCCAATTCTTTCCTCCTCTTTGCCCGCCTTAGACGGACGTTATGACACGCATAGTTGTTTACACCTGGTGACCGTGAAGCCTATAAATATGCTTAATTAAAACAGTGGAATTGGTCACAGCTTGGCAATAATGGCTATCACACGGGGAGAGGAGAATCTCATTTGTGTGGGGAAGTAGAACGTGATGCAGATGTGCTCTTGTCACTTTCAGCACTCATTAAGGCCAGGGCGCTTGGATCGTCTTTGAAGGAATCCTTTTAAAAGACACTCCAATTAAGGTATGTGTCCTGCGGGCGTCTGAGGAGAGGGAGAAGTAATATGGTACCCCAGTCCTTCCACTCCTCCGTCGATCGCGGCACGACTTAACACATGACTTACAATCTCGTGTCACTTCTAAGCAATGATAATGGAATTGGACGATTGAGAGGAAAAAAAAAAAAATACAGACAGCCCGGCTTAAAAGAACCGAGGGAATCTCGTGCAGAAAATGTCATCTTCGCTGTTACTGTTACTTCAATCTCATTGTCTTGTCTTGTCTTCGGAGGAACTGGAATCTGCAGAGCCCTCCAGATCGACGCATCTCTGGAGGAGCTGAACTTGTGGGTTTTCTTCACAAATGAACTGCACTCAGAGAAATGTCAGATTTAAGCTGTGGCTAATACTGCACACCGATCACTTAATGAAGCCGGTTAATTAATCCAGCCTATAGCAGCATTGTCAGTGTCTCAGTTCGTTTTGCATTGTAAAAAGCTACGGCATCCAACCGAAGCCAACGCAAAGTTTATGTTTCACAATGCAATATGGACTTTGCTCGAACCCAGCAACATTATTTGCTCAAAAGGGGGCAGCTGCTTTTCAATTTTCTTATATCTAAATTTAAAAGTGTCTTATTTGGGAGAGAAGATGAAGTGAAGCCATGCTCAAGGGGTGGGCAGTAGTTGAGGGTCAGAGAGAGCGCTGCACAGCCAGCCAGCTTGCCCTCCCCATCAGCACCTCATGAAATATCTAGACTTTGCTCCATATTTTAATGGGGTGAGGGATGCACAGGGTGGAGGCTGTGTGAGTGTGTGTGATGGTGGAGGGGAGTCCTCTGGAGAGTTTCGAGGGGAATGGTGGTCTCTGCATCTCAGTGCTTATTTATTTTTTTTGTCCGTGAAAGAAAGAGGAAAGAGGGAGAGAGCGAGGGAGAGCAAGAGAGATTATTCTCCTTTGGAATCTGGATTCTGGGGCACACAGGCCCAGGAGTCAGTCAATCTGGCCAGTCTGAGGGGGGCGGCTGGGCGGGGGGTCCTAGGAGGGCTGATTAGACGGATGCTCTCCCATCATCCATCTCGACAGGCTGGCGAAAATTGGCTAGCCCCTCGCAGGGTAGAGTTCACGGGGGGAGGCAGTGGGGGAGGATGTGGAGCGGTGCACTGGATACCTGTCACAGCCTTTGGTCTGTTTCAGGATCTCAGCAGCAAATTAATAAAATATCGTTCCTGCTTCCCTTTACCTGCCGTGGCAGCTCTCCCTCTCGCCGCTGATTCTCCCTGCTTGCATTGGCCCTTTGACCCCTCCGACTACTGTGAGAGATGAGGAGCCCAGGCAGCCTGCGAGTGGGCCAGAGTGTCAGGGAGAAACAGGGAGAAACTCCAAACTCAAGACCCGGCAAAGGGGGAGAGCTTCCACTTCTCGCGCTGCTGGAAGACAGCTCCACTTCAGACAGACTGACAAACGACTGCCCCATGTCAGGGAGACATTTTGAAGTGTGATGCATGGGAAATGGCAACCGCAAACAAACAACAACTAAAAACAAGACTCCAACCTGCACTGTTTGTGAAGGGCTTCAACTACAGACAGTGAAAGTGGCAAATCTAACATCCACCAAGTTCAGGAGTCGCGTCTTCAGATAAAGAAGGAAGTCAGTCACGATGTAAATAAACTGACGACGTGCATTTTTCTGTGTGAATGTGATAAGAAACGGTACGTATGTGCGCATCCAAATGAGCAACATATGTGTTTGAGAGAGTGTGAGCATGCACTCACATGGGACTGCCTATAGAGCGGGGCGCAGGTTGAGCGTAAGGATCATCTTATCCCCCATGCTCATCCCCGCTCTCCTTTCATGAGCCCCCGTTTCATAACAAAGTGCCATAGGTCTTTCATGTTCCACTCTTTGTTTTTTCACACAGGGTGTAAAACAATATCATCATGCATGAAACAACACCTCTGGGAATTGGAGATCACATCATTCCAAAAAAAGGCAAACAAACATCCCCAGGTTAGACTGTTTACAGGTGCCTACGCCAACCCATGGCTGTATAGAGAACACGCGTACCAATCAGAGATGAAAATGTGATATATTGGAGGCCTTGGCATTAATGAAAAGACTTCATGTTGGCAGTTTGGTGGAGCACGAGGCTTGATAAATAACCTTCCACGGCGCTCAAATGTCCAGCAGATAATGATCACATTCACCTTCCTCCTGGCAGACACGCGGATCTATGTTTACAACCTGAATCTCAATATGAAAATCGTTGGCGATCAATGGGCAGCCAGGCCCTGGATACTTCCTCTGGCTACCTGCTAATACGCCGTGCTGCTAATCCAAGTTTCGGATAAATTGACTTGGAGGATGAGGTCAGGAGCTTTTGGTTACTCTCTGCGCTTTAAGGCGAATTAAGAGCAATTTCGGTGATTGGACCGAACGCTTTTGTTATAGGCCACTCGTTTTTTAATGATTCAGTTTCAAAAGGTAATAGAAAAAGATTCTGGATATGAGAAGTGTGCCGTGTGTAAGGCAGATAATCCCCAAAACAAAACGGAGCTGCTTGAAAACACCACCACAGTGAAATAATATAATAAGGTCTGTTTCATTTTTTCAGCTCCTCCAAGGACCGGAGAAAAAGATTGCTAGAAAACGGATTATCTCTCTAACGTTGCGAGTTCATAAGTCCAACTACTAACTTTGTTGAAGGGCAGATACGGTCTCCCGAAGGACAAAGCTCATATTTAGCCATGAGGCCTCCTCTGTGATTAGGAGGGGAGATGCAGGCATATTGACTCAACTGTGTTTTTGCCTCTGCACTGCATGTAATTACCTCTTCAAAAACGAACATTCCACTAATCCTCTAATTCCAGATATTTTAGTGCTCTGCTGGTCTAATAAGCAAATCAAATCATATCTGCACATCACAAATGAGTTTTGGAAACGGACCGAAATAATTCCTTCTGAGTCTCTCATCCCAGCCGGGATGGAGGTTGATAGCTGGAGTGCGGTGAGCGGTGTTTAGTGTTTGTTAAGCTGTCATGTGCGATTAGTGGTCGCAGCTTCTTGCTGGTGGCCCTTTTTTTTTTCTTTTTTTTCTTTGCAAACGCCAGCCCGAGGCTCACCTGTAACTCTGTCTGGAAGAAGAACTTCTGTGGGCACTGCGAGCAGTCGTAGATCTTATCCTCCTGACCGTGTGCAGAGAAGATGTGCTGCTGGAGCTTATTGGCCTGGACGAATACTGCTCACATGCAAGGAGAGGAGACACAGGGAGAGAGAAGGAATGTTAGAGTGAGACTTTTCCTGAGTGTTGTACATAACGCATTTCAAAAAATCACCGTAAGATGCCCATACTCTTTGCTTCCTATTGTTGGCTGTGGTAAATTAGAGTAGTAGCCTGCGTTAAGGGAAAAAAGGCAACATCATAATTGGATCTGCTGGAATACAAATTGAAGACAGAGTATGTCAAATGGCAAGGAAAATGACTTAATTACAAACAAATGAATGCACTATCAACAACAGAAAAAACATTGTTATGAGCAATATAATTGAAAAAAAAAAAAAAATAACAGAACAATTTAGATGTTAACTGTGAAGCTAGAGTGGTCATATTTATGGCACTAGAGCTAGCGAATGCATAATGTTTTGGTAATAATGATGCTCTTTATTTAGCACTACAGTGGGGACAACAAGCCAGCAAATAAACAACCACGAAAAAATTGGCATGGCTTCAAGTGCAAAACATGGCCTCCATTAGTCTACATCGCTAATTATATTGACAATATAAATATTCATGATGTTGCACTACTTATTCATGCAGGCTCAGTCTACATTCACCATCATATAAACACACAACTCACTGGAACTTAAAACATATACCATACATGTGTGCTTTAATTAAGCCATAGTCCGCACTGGAAAGCTAAGGGGGAGCCAATTGGGTGCATCTTGAGTGTGTGTGTGTGTGTCTGCATTCTCCAAGGAGCACTTCAAACATGCCGTTTGTTATCCCAGACCCTTGTGCTTTAAGGACGGCTGTCTAATCTCAAAGGTCTGGATGCTCTGGAAAAGTTAGCATGTGGGGGCTTCATTTGAATTTCTTACGGCTCAAAATAACTTTTTCTTCTAATGTATGCACCGGGGGGGCACAAGGAGAGCAGGGGAAAAACGCACAGCCACAAAAGGTGAGGTGTCTGTCGGAGATGGCTTTGGGGTCGCCGCAGCCTCCGCAACGTTGACGTGTCCCAATTTGAGCTCACCTGGGAGAGCGGTTATTAATTATTGAGCTGCGTACACTTGAGACGCGCTCGGTTTCATTAAATGTCACACTCCTGACCTGGGAAATAAAAGTTTGGATTCAAAGCAGTCACACTGTGGTGGTGCTTTCAGACTGCTAATGTCTGGGTGACAGCTGTCTCTGGAACATGGCGGCATGTTAACCAGAAATGAACAAACCTCCGCTAATGAACAAACAACAACTCCATGGTCCATTTCTGAAACTAATGACCACAACAATATGAAGACAAACATAACTGGAGATAGATGGCTGGTTTTACGGTCCGCTACAAAACATTGCCGCTCAAGGTTAAGGCCTTGGCTATCATGTGCATTTGTGCCTCTGTTATGCTCTAAAAACGATGACAATTTTCTTTGTGGGGAATACATGCTCTGGAAGACAAAACACGCTGATAAACAATAGCTTTTTTCTTTGGCTGCGATTTGTCTGCTTATACTGTACAGAGGCAGGTCACAGCAGCCGCAGGAAGCCTTCATTATGTCTTTGGCTAGTGGAGGAAAAAGTCAATACAGCAAAAATAAAAATGGATTTGAGACTTGGGGGGGCCTTCAAATACTGTACAATAGGGCCAAACACAACTGAGATGTCAAGTTGGCTGATGCTCGCTGCTTACGTGCATATCTGGTCCAGTTCCAGTAAGAGACACATTTAATCAGCTATGCATTTACCAATTTATGGCACTGCATTCATTTTTATGCGAGTGGATAATGGCAGCTGATTTAAAGTGCCAGAGCCTCAAATGCACTAATGGCACTTACAAGTCTGCTGTAAGAACAATAAATACTAAATGGACTTATGACATTTAAGGCAACAATTTAAATGGAAGCTCAACTACTTTTTAGCTAATTCATGTAGTTAAGTTGTGACATTTTTGCAGACTTGTGTTGTATTTATGATTAATAAAAACACAGCGCATGCTAATATTAACTGTGCGAGCCAGAATGAAGACTCTTTCTTTGTCTTCATCATCAAATTAGCATGCAACGTGTAATAAAGGGATAAGCTGAGACAGGCAATGAGGGGACATTGTATTGGAATTCAGCAGCATGGGTCACGTATGTGAAACATGCCACAGCAAAGCCCATTGCGAGGAGAAAGTCGTCCTGGAGGGTTAAAATGAGGACATGGAGGAACGGGAGAGAAATAATCCAAAACCACATCCAAACAGGATCAGTGGCCGGCCATTGTGTCTCTCCCTGCTGAGAACGAGAGAGAATAAGGGAGGGAGGGAGAGAACTTTGTGGAGTTTGTTGGCCACGGAGCCAGAGCAGAGCGGAGCTGAACAGAGCGCTGAGCCGGGTTGGGCGTCAGGGGTGTCAGGGCTGAGGGGGCTGAGGGGCCAAGGTCTCCTCGCTGTGGGGGATATTAAGCCCTCTGATTAGATCTCAGGGGCCGCCCATGGCAGACGTCTCCTTTACTACAGGCCCCAGCTCATCTTTATTTTGGCAGGGTGGTGCTCTCTGCAGGCTGCACTGCACCAATACTAAGCTGTTTGTGCAGGCAGGGAAAAAAAAGTGTATCCTCCCCCCCCCCCCCCCCCCCTTCTCCTTTTCATTTATTTATTCGTCTAGCCTACATGTGTTTGTTTCTGCTTAATCCAAGAGTTCACAATGCAGAGGCTGATCCAAGTGTTCCGAGGCAACACAAGCATGTCGGCTGCGTACGTTGATTTGGCTTCACGAGCTGATAACTACTAGTTTCGGGTTAAAGCTGAGCCTATGTCGTTGCTTTTGGATGCAAGATGTCACAATTCTAACACCAGCTTCACCAGCAGAACGTGGGCAGCAACGAAAAACAAAAAGCCAATTAAACTACTGTATTTGTCGAGACTATTGTGGATTTGCATCCTGTAGTTTTTCGAGTTTGTACTTCCCGCTGTGACATAAGTAAAAGAAAAGTGTATACACACACAGACACACACACACACACACACACACACACACACACACACACACACACACACGACTTTCATCAGGCACACTTTCTTCTGTTTTGTTTGTCTTAAGCACATATTCCCAATCACAATTTCCACACCAGCCCTCACCAACGCTCCTAAGGGTGCAGGCAGACACTTCTAGCTGCAGGCTCCCCCACTTCTGAAACCTGTCAAATCTGTCCTGGGAGAGTCAGCCTCCCTCTCATCATCCAGGGGCTTATGGACCTCTCTCCATTTACCCTCCCTTCCCTACACAGTTCTCTTTTCCTCCTTCTCTTCCCCTCTTTCATCTCACATCCAAACTTGCCAGTTGCAACCCTCCCAGCTTCCTCCAAGTTTTGTCTCCTTTTCTCCTCTATTTTGTCTCCCCTCATCTTACCGACTACGACTTACTTTTCCCCATTCTTTTTCCTCTGGTCTGTTTTGTGGTATGGTTTGTCCTCTCTCTCCGCTCCCTTCGGTGCAGATTGAAGATAATCAGGTGTGTCAAAGAGTGACAATCACTCCCTGCCCCCCACGGAGGTTTTGGGTCACGGCGGGTAGATCAAACCAAAACATGGTCATCGAGTTGGGATGATTTTTTGAACTAAGAGTAACCTTGTAAATCTGAGCTTAATGACCCAGCTGCTATTACTGGCACCACCTACTTTGATCAAAGTTTTGCTTTTATGGTCGGACTCATTACGTCTTTGACAGGCATCCTTTTAATCTGTAAATAAAGTTTTTGGAATAGTGCACTGACTCATCGAAGCTTACAAAATAAAACTGGCTAGAACCTTATGGTGAATTATACAGACTAGGCTCTGGAAAAGCCCTAAAGTAACTATTAGAGTATAGTAACAACCAAGAGGTACCTGTCCTTGACTTTAGACTTCTACACCGCTGCATTTCAGAGAGAAATATTCGACTTTTTCTCCCCTACTTTGAATATTAGGATTAAACATACAAAATAGAATATGACGTGTTGTTGAAACATTAAGCAACCAAACTTTGAATAAGCTACAACATAAAAGTGCCTCTTATGTGTAAATGCATAACAATCCAGAAAAAAAAAATTATATATGGAGAGTAATTATGTGTAATGAGAAGTTTTATTTGGATATTTTCATACTTCTATACATTGCGCTGACAATACTGTATATACTTTCCCTCCAAACCAAACAAACAATTTATACCGTCATTTGTTTTACTTTTAAGGGAAACCAGGGGTTCACTTCCTGAATCCCATGTGTGGTTTGGGTTACGCAACTAAACCACTAAGTCTAAGGTTAATTAAGGATTGTGGTTTTCAATGAATGTGAAAAAAATAAACGCGTCCTGTCTTGCAACATTTACCTAAGACAAGAATCATTCCTCAACCTTAACTAAGTGCTGCGAGTGCCTCAACATAAGAAGTTAATCATGCTTCAATCATTGCTACTTTCCCTTAATTAAAAGATCTGGATACTGCTGCTGCACAACTGTACGGTAAATGCCCTAACACATCATGAAAAATATTTACATTTGTCCAACAATATACTGTAAAAGTCTTTCCACTTTCTGCAACGCTCAACTTGAAGAAATATATTCAAGGACAGCTGTCAGGCGAACTCTCAGTTCCTCCTTTTCCTCCCAGTGCTCCGACTTCATTCTGGCTGTCCCGTGCATCCCCAACAGAGGGAGGCCTTTCAGTCAATGCGTACTCTCCACAGCCTGCCTTCCCCACCACTATGGGCCTTCGCCCATCTGTCTGTCTGCTCTGTGACCACTGTCCTGAGGGTGCACTCTGTCTCTCCCTCCTCCCCTCTCCCTCCCAGCATCCCTCTCTCTCATGCGCCGTGATCGATATGGACGCGGAGGGAGAGGGGGGACCTGTCTGTCAAAGCCGGCGGTGGAAAATGAAGGCTCAGATGAAGGAGGCATGCTCTGGATATTAAATGCCCAGACCCCTGTGAGGGGTGGAGGGGGTGGGGATATATCAATAGGCTTCTGCTAAAAGAGAGATAAGGCTGAAACAGCAATGAGCGAAGTAGAGGGAGGGTAGTGGAGAGAAAGAGAGATGAGGCAAATGAATAAGGAGCCGAGCCGCAAGATGGATGAGGAGGTAAGAGATGTGTAAAAATATATTTGAGCCAAATGCAAAACGTGAGCTAATGATGTTAATTGGGTGTGTGTGTGGGGGGGGGGCAAAATAGGGAAATGAGCTGAGGACCCGAAAAAGTGCGAGGAAGAGTAAAGAGCTGAGAAGGGAGAAGAGCTGAAGTTAACGACTTTGCAGATTTCATTATAGAGATAGTTAACCCTGTTGACACTGAAGGAGGGCGCTATCCTCTCAGGAGGAGTCCGGTCCTTCCACCTCCACGCACAGAGACAGATGAGATCATTACAGCTATCAGCACCACTGCCATCCACAATTAACACATCTCCTTTTCTTTCCCCACTCCTCCATGCCCCCCCCCCCTCTCATCTCCCCTTCGCTCACACTGTCTTCCCCCCTGCTCTCCCCCCCCTCTCACCTCATGACACTTCTTTGGCCTTGATTTGGAGGCAATTTGACTAAATAAAAAGCCACATGCAGCAAACTGTTCTCCGCTTTAGCCGACCCGCTTGCTTGACCTTTCCCAACTCATTTAGAACCCATTTGCCTTTTCACACTAGAAAAAAAAAAAAAAAAAAAAAAAAAAACGAGGAAATTAAAAACTTTCCATATTGAGAATGTAAATGTCTCTAAAAATGTACATAAAAAAACTCTACCTTTCTAATCTTTCTATCAGATCATTAGGTTGCAAGCCCATAATACACACACACACAAACACAATGCATACCTGTAAAGCAGACCGGACACTTGAAGGTTCCTCCCATGCCCTCAAAGCTGTGCTCAATCAGGTGGCATTGAAGCTTCGCTGGTGAGTCGAATGACTTACTACAGAGCTTGCATTCATGGTTCAATCCTTCCTCTGCAGCAGAGAAACGACAAAAACACAAAGAAAATCATAAGAAGGAAAATAAGCAAAGCGTGAATGGCAGAGGTCTCACTCTGCCTTGTTTCTTTTCTCGACTTCTTACACATGGAATTTGGAATTCGACAAATTTGTGGCAAAGGCCCCTGCCTGTGATTTGCATGAGACAGGAAATAATATAAAGTGTGATCTGCTCCCATCAGGCATAAATTAGATGACCAGCTGGGGCCTTGCACTTTGAACATGGTGAGCGTCGTCTTTCTAATTAACTTACATGCAAAATCATTTATTTCTAGCATCTGCAAAAGAAAACAGATTTTGAAGGTCTACATGAAGGAATGTGTGCTCTGAGAGGTGAATCAAAAATGAAGAGAGAAAGAACAGTTAAATAGTCTCATTTCAGATGTGCAGAGTGTTATTACTGTTACTGCAAGGACAAAATTATAACCTGAAACCTTCATTGTATGTCACCCAATAATCTTATCATGTCTCCAGTCGACATACACTGACTGTCAAGGCTGCCAAAACAACTCTCCTTTACGACATGCTCACGCGTCAACATTTTTAATACAGTGATACGAGAGTTATTTCAAGAGCACAACAGATTCCCAGTTTAACCGCTTGGCATTAGAATTCCCTGCACGTCTATCCAAACATTGCTCTGCCTCAGCCGAGGCCACAATAAATGTCGTTCAGACTGTGAACCTGCACACTCGTTTGCAGCACAACAATCTGCTGACTCAGGCTTCCAGAGAACTGCCCATCTCCAGTGCGTCAATAAAAGGCCTATACACTCTGCCATGGGGCCAGACTAGTGCTCTATCAAACTCCTGCCAACGCTGACATTAGCCCAGCTACTGCAAGGGGGTGGTGTGGATACACCGGGGACTCGTCGAGGGTTTTTCCCCAGGTCTCCACAGCCCGGTGCCCACCACATAGGCCCTTGGTACTAGAGGCACGAATACGCAATCCACCTAAACAGCTGTGCCGGGCGCGAGCTCATGGAGGATCCAAGGCGAGGGTTAATCGATTTAGGCGATTGTCTGGTGAAAAACAGTGCAGTGCAATTCAATTGTAACCTGCAATGGGCAAGGTTTGTTCAAAACAACTTTTAATTTTCCTGTTTTTTTTCTAAAAGCTCACCTGATACGGGGGTATATATATTTATAAAATAGATTATAGTGACAGTTGCAACTCGGTGACCACTGATATTTCCAGGACGAGACGGGAATGGAAACATCTCCTGCAGCGCCAAAAGAAACAGTGTGTACATACTGAACTTTGTCCTGTAACATATTACCACATGTCCTTTTTACAATCTTTTCTCAATAACATAAACATATGGCCTGGCATGCTGCATAAGGCGGTATCTACTGGATAAAAACAAACCGCACAGTAAGTTGCAAGCCTCAGCACAGGCTGACAGACTATGCTCCCTCATGACCGTCTAGTAAAAAGGTAACGGCCGATCAAAGCAGCTCGTTCTAGTTTGAAAGGGACCGAATTGATGATGTGTTCTGCAATCATGCATTTGACAGATGAGATATTCTGTGGCCCACATGTGCTTCAGGGTTGTAGCAGCAGGCATCAGCGAGAGAGGGGGAGGAGGGTGGCACGAGTGCGTCCGAGTAGCCGTACAACGGGATCACCGCGCTCTTTGATCCCCATCCAGTTTGCTTATTTGTGCGAGGGTGTACACTATGAGGTCAAGCTCGCTGCAGGGTTCATGGATCTGTTCTTCTGCCATATGCGCAGCCCTAGTTTGACCCTGGTGCACAACGCTGTCCCTTCAGAGACCTGGCCTGCTTCATTATGCAGATGACTCTGCACCTGCCTGACTGACCTTGTGTGCATGCATGTGTGTGTTTATGTCTGTGAGCAGGTGCATCAAGGGGAAATGGCAAAGAGATACTATGTATACAGTGTGCTTCAATTTTGAAGAATAAGGCTGGTGTTATTCTATATTTTTCTTATTGCCAACAAATATCAATAATGGATTGTGATCAGCAATGTGTTAGTCTGTGTCTACTTTCCTAACCTGACTGTGGCTCTTGGGCCCTAGCTCACTCATTCCTACTAAAGTAGTACACCTTTAAAACAGGTCACTAACACGTAGTTTCATTTTTAAAAAAGGTCAGTAATTCCCTAAAACAGCTAGGAATTGTAGTTTTTACCAAATGTTACCAAAACAGGACTAAATCATGCATTTGTTGGGAACTATGTTTTGTGGATTAATACACATTTGGTGTGAAGGATGTTGTATTTGGGATCAGAATTAACTACATTATGGTGAACATGTCAATCAGTGCACAGGTGTTGCTCAATGACGTGTTCTAATAGATTTAGGACAACAATGGAGGTCTATGGCAGTGAGCTACAGGATATCTTTGGATACACACACAATACTTGTGACGAGGATTAATTCAGCGTTGGATTTGGTGTTTTAATGGGATGTATTTTTTGATAATTCTAAAACGTTGTTTATATATATATATATATATATATATATATATATATATATATATATATGAAATACAACATATCTACTGATGTGTTTGAGTTAGAGTTAGTACATAGTTCAACTACATTCTAAGTAAACTGTGCTCTGTTAGCTCCTGTGACGCAGCCTGTGTAGGGTTGGGTTTGCAGTCGGCAGTGTAACGGGGGTTGAATCAAGCTGGCAGCCTGTTTCTTAGTGAGAGCCAGGGGAGGAAGTCAGCTCAATCACCCCTATATGCTGCCTCATTGGGCTGAGGTCACTTCCTGTCATTCCCCCAGCCCTTCTCCGGGGCTGCCCAATCAGCATGGCCCTGCGTGGTCCCACCCTCACCCCTTTCTATGCACTGAGCAGACTCTGGATATAGTTACAGGGCCACATGGGACCGTCGGCTCTCTCTCCCTCTATCCTCATCTCCGTCTCTCTCCCTCCTCCAGCTCTCTGTTTCCGAGTCTCCCGAGCGTCTCTCCGCTGCCACCACCCTGTCCCTCCGCACTCCAAAGTAAAATCCTTTAGATGAGTACTGCTCCTGTGCCTGCTCCCTCTAAGCATCCCTGACACCAGCAAAGTAAGCCCATCTGCATATCCACAGGGCCTCGCGTTCCTGTGGCTCATGGTTTATGTATTTCACAGCTCCTTAAAACACAAACGCCTAATATCTCTCCCACGTGGAGGACAGAAGAGGGAGAGAGGAAAAAAAAAAAAAACGACTCTCAAAAAGAATGGTCTTTATTTCTCTGCGCTGTTTACTTTTTTTTTTAAATCCCGGCTGAAGTTCATGTGCTGTTGAAGGTTGTTTGGGACACAGGGGCTTGCGGGTCTGGCTTGCATAGTTTAGTGAATGCTTTATGTAACAACGACACAGCTGCAGCATATTGAATTCTATATGTTTAAGGCAGTGATAAAGGTGTCGGTGAATATGATAGAGATGTCTTGGTTTGCTCAGAGTTCGAATGCAGAGCCATCATCTGACAGTGAGTAAAAGAATGAACTAAAGTAACTAAAGACAGTCTAACTTTCTGATAATAGTGTGTAGTTAAGTGTAACATAGGGCATTGCTTAATTAAAAACTGTCCCTCAGCTGATTCCACTCCAACATCGCCACCCCCCCCCCCGCCACCAATGCCCCTTACTCTATTTAAACAAGTCTGCTGAGGAGCAATTTGAATTGGAGGGGAATTCAGGATCACTTTTAGCATTTGGCTTTGGAAGAGAAAAATCTGATACTTAGATTTACACTCCCCTCTGGGGCATGGTGAATGGTTCTCTGAAGCTCACTCTTAGAGGGACCCATGCTGCTTTGTGTCGCGAAAGCAGCACACTAACAAATGATATTAAGAACATCAATCAAGGCACTTCTTTGCTGAAAGTAATGAATAAACAAGTGGGAGAACAAATTGAGAATATTTAGTGGGCTGGAATGGGTTGTTTTGGAAAAGCCGGAGACAGAACTGCCATCATAATCAAAGTTGGCCCAGTCAAACCGATAGGTCAACGCAATACTAAGTTTCTAAACTGCCAAACCGTGCCATAAAGGCAGAAAATACCTGCTTGGAGCGATCTTGTTTATGAGGAATTTCACCTTTAGGTAGAGTTTGCTTTCCGTTCCGTACCATCTGTTTCACAATAATCAGCCTGATGTTGGAGTTGCATGTTAATAAACCAAGAAGATTTGGTTTTTGGCGGACTCGCTGCCGTATATACAACCCACTACGGGATTGTGGATGGTAGCAGAGTAGACAGCTTCAGGCCTGTAAACAGTAGGTGGGTTTACTTCTCTCTTCTCTCCGCGGGTACTATCCATTAACAGATAATGGGGGGAAAATCAGAGTGATTAAGGCCCAGGGAATTATGGGTGAATACAAATTGACTCCACCTCCGTGTGGTGCGCTCTCTTGAGGTAGAAGCACTGCTCATAAGGAACAAACTCATTTCAGAAGTACTACAAGGCCCATTAAGGCCTGGAGAATGCTGCAGATGGGGGTGGAAAGGTGGTAGGTGGGAGCGCAAAGGGATGGACTCCCCCCGGACCAAAGCTGATTGGAGAACTGGCGCCTGGGGGGGAACGCTGCTAATATCTATTTCCTGCCTCCACAGTTTGAGAATGACAGAGTGAATCAAGTGCAAAATGTCAAAATGAAAGTACAATATTTAATCATAGCACCTCTAAAATTCACCCCATTCTATCAATGAGTTAATGTATTACACAAACAGTGATGGAAATGTGGTCGACTGCAAGCTAATAAAATCAAAGAGATTGGAAAACTACTGCAGCATGAAAGACAAAGCTTTACTTCAGTTTGCCTGTAGGGAAGTGGGCATGTAAAATACACACTGTGTGTCTGCAAGAGAAAAAGCGAAAGACGAGCAAAGCGAGGCACTGAAGCCCTCGTGTCAGGGTCCCAAGTTCGGTGCATGCCTGATGCAGTTTTCCAACCTCCAGAGGGAGAAGGAGGGGTGAGGTGTTGGCTGTGACATGTCAGTGATGGCGACGCCCCCT